TGCCCAGGCTGGAGTGCAATGGCGTGATCTTGGCTCACTGCATCCTCCGCCTCCTGGGTTCAAAAGATTCTCCCGCCTCAGCCTCCTGAGTAGCTAGGATTACAGGTGTGTGCCACCACACCTAGATAATTTTTGCATTTTTAGTAGAGACAGGGTTTCACCATGTTGGCGAGGCTGTTTTTGAACCCCTGACCTCAAGTGATCTGTCCACCTCGGCCTCCCAAAGTGGTGGGATTACAGGCGTGAGCCACTGCACCCGGCCAAGACGCTGTTCTTTTATAATAGTTTCCTCTGAGTAGCCTCTAGCCTGGAAAGAACATCCTGGCCCTGGAAGGGTCTTATATAAAGATCTTAGCCATGTTTCCCATAAGGAAGGCAGTCCTGTCCTGCCCCAGGCCAGAAGCCAGCGAGCCTAACTAGGGCAGAACTGCCTGAAAACTCTCTGCAGAGGTGGGAGCTGAGGGCCTCAACCGTCACTCTGCACCCTGCAGCAGACTTCTATGGTGGGGGCCACACTAGGGGCAGAGCAAAGACTTAAAGTGTCTTTAACAGGCCTGATGCCTTCGCCTCTGGGTAAGGAGAGAGACAGGGGACATTCTGCTCTCTCTCTCCTGGAGACTTGGGTTGAGGCAGCCAGGGCATGGCTCTGGGAGACGAGATGCCCACAGACTCCTGGGCCTAGCTCTGCATTAATTCCAGGCCACAAGGGGAGGGCACAGCTGAGCACCTTCCAGGTGCCAGGCAGTGGGCACTCCACATCTGTCATCCCACTAACAACTCTGGGCAAGCCACGCCTTCTCTGGGCCTTAGTTTCCCTTGATGTTAATTGAGATAAGTTGCATGATCCCTGAATGATCTATGTTTCTGTCTCCCTCCCAGGGTTCTGCCAGCACGGGGATCTGTGTCTCTATTGGAGCATTTCTTTAATTAATTAATTAATTAATTCAGCATACATTTATTAGCAATTCCTGTGGGCCTGATGCCATGACTCATATCTGTAATCCCAGCATTTTGAGAGGCTGAGGCGGGAGGATCGCTTGAGGTCAGGAGTTCAAAACCAGCCTGGCCAACATGGTGAAACCCGCGTCTCTACTAAAAATATAGAAACTAGCTGGACATGGTGGCATGCACCTGTAATCCCGGCTACTCAGGAGGCTGAGGCAGGAGAATCGCTTGAACCCGGGAGGAGGATGTTGCAGTGAGCTGAGATCATACCACTACACTCCAGCCTGGGTGAGAGAGCAAGTCTCTGTTTCAAAAAAACAAAAACGAAAACAAAACAATCCCTGTGTGCAGGATGCTGTGCTGGGGGTAGGGGAGTTGGGGGGATTTAGAGGTGAGTAAAACAGGGCCCTAGGCCCAAGGAACTCATGGTCTAGCAGGGCAGATGCTACTAAGCAGGGCTGCATCAAGGCTCTGAGGGTCCTCTCTGCCCACCCCCCTCTCTTCACCTCTCTTGTTGTAGCCACACTTCCCACCATCTACCAGAGCTTTGCTCATACCACTGTGCTGGCCTGGAATGAATGAGTCTTCCTTCTATGTCCCAGCTCCAATGCCACTCCCTCTGTGAAGCCTTCTAGAATTCTTCCAAACCAAAGCAAATTCTCTCCTTTTTTTTCTTTTTTGAGATGGAGTCGTGCTCTGTCACCCAGGCTGGAGTGCAGTGGCCCAATCTTGGCTCACTGCAACCTCCGCCTCCTGGGTTCAAGCGATTCTTCTGCCTCAGCCTCCCAAGTAGCTGGGACTACAGGCATGTGCCACCACACCTGACAAATTTTTGTATTTTTAGTAGAGACGGGGTTTCACCATATTGACCAGGCTGGTCTTGAACTCCTGGCCTCGTGATCCACCCGCCTCAGCCTCCCAAAGTGCTGAGATCATAGGTGTGAATCACCATGCCCAGCCAAATTCTTCCCTTTTAAAGCACCCAGATACTTGCTACCTCTCCTCAGGACATTTACCTTGCCCTCATATTCCAGTAGATAGTGCCTGTTTCTTATCTTTGGGAGGGCAGGGTGGTGTCTGATACATTTCTGGGTCCCAGAACAGTGTGTACAGCCTGGTACACAGTAGAAGGAAAGAACGGCCCAAGACATGTGACCATGCGCTACCGTGGCGGTAAAGTGCCAAGAGACACAGGCAGCAGAGGGGAAGGCTGTTTAGTTCTGAAAGGAGGAAATGTCTTCATTGTATGGGGAAGGTGCAGTGATTGGGTTTGTGGCTGGGCAATCAGATGGCACAGGCCAGACAGGAGGCTGCGGGGCGTCCATCCCAAAAGTCAGACTTGCATTTACCTGGGAACTCACAGCTCTGGCCCTTGGGTGAGAGCAGGCCTCCTTCCACTGGGCATTGCTTTCACTGGTGGCTTCCTCCTGGTCCCCTCTGTTCCCACCCACAGGCTGAAGCCTGCCTGGCCAGGCAGGCAGCAAAGGGAAGTGTTACAGGGCAAACTAGGAAGTGGTTGCAAAGAGCAAGCCCTGTGCTAGGTCTTGCCCTCAGTGAATTAAGTACATCAGCTTGCTTCAGCGGCCTGCTGACTTCAAGTCTGGACCATCGCCCCTTTTCAGTGAATAAAGATGCTGGGATTGCAAGGAGCAAAGTGGCTTGCTGGGGTGTCATAGGCTGGCTGAGGTGTGAGCATGTTAGGAGTGCCTCTCAGAAAGCAGGGAAGGTCAGAGGCAGATGGCAGGGGCTGGGGTGGGGAGATGGAGTCTGTGCTTCTTTGCCCGCCCCCCCCCGCCTCCGTTTGGTGCCCTGTTCTTCATCCTGCCTGGCCACAAGTGGAGAAGAAAGGCTGTCAATACTGAAAGGCCCCAAGCTGGGTCTAGCAGGAGTGGTCACACACTGAGGGCAGGACAAGAGGTGGGCCAGGATCTCAGAGAGGAATAGTCAATCAATGCTACTGTTCCCAGAGGTGGCGATGGCTGGGCTTAGGGGACATCGTCTCTCACAGCAGCACCTGGCGAGCTTTCTACGTCTGGCTGGGAGAGAGGGTAGCGGTCCCCCACTATGGGAGCCAGGTAGGAACTCATTAGGTAGCACCTTTCAATCCCTCCTTGTTCAGAGGCCCAGAGAGCTCAGGTGTCTCTCCCAAGGTCACACTTTGAGCTAAGGGTAAATTTGGAACTAAAATCGGGACTCCCTGACCTTCTGATGTCCACTGGCCTCAGTCCCGGTGGGCACACTTGCTCACCTCCTGCCCGGGTCTCTGACTTCAGGAGAGCAGAGGGGGGCGGCGTCAGAGCCTCCCGCGCCCCAGCGCATCGCTCCCTTCCCCGCCCCTCGGGATCCTTTAAGAGGCGGGGCTTGACTGCCAGCTCCACGGCCCGGGCAAAAGGCTGGGACTTTACTCCCGTTGGCCGGTGGCGGCGAGGACGAGTCTGTTCTCCATCAGCTGCCGCAGACGCTGCCTCCCGCCCCAAAACCCCATCCCAGCGGCTGAGCCACGATGAGCGGCAGAGTTGGCGATCTGAGCCCCAAGCAGAAGGAGGCATTGGCCAAGGTGAGCCCTCGCTCTGGCCCGGGCTCCCGCCCGGGGCTGTGGCCCTCGTCCTCCTGCGGCAGCGAGAAGGGACGAGGTTGGGTGGGGGCCGAGGGTCCGTGGCGGGCGGCCGGGGGAGCAGAGGCGGCCGCCCCAGCGTGGCCCGCGCCCGCGGACGGCTCCTTCCTCCCTCTGCCACCCTCAGGGTCCCAGGAAGTTTGGCCACCCCCCGCCCAAGTCCCGAGCAGCTGTGGCAGTGCCACCTGGGAAGGAGTGGTTGCTTGGTAGTCCCTGAAGGCCGCTGAGGGCACAAAGACAACATTCATCTTCGGGACTGGCAGCCCGGCCCTGGGGCAGGGGCAGGGGCAGGGGCAGGCGCAGGGCCCCAAGTTTCCTCCCATTTCCGGGAGGCTTTCCTCTTGCCGGGGCAGTGGCATGATGGAAAGGGACCTGGATAGCTCCTTGGGAGACTTGGATAGCTCCTGCCCCCACAACAAGCCGCTGTGCGACCTTGGGCAAAACCCTGTCCTTCTCTTTGCACCTTGATGCCATGGAATGAGGAGGTTGGACCAGATGATGTTGAAGGGAACACCTCCATGTGTGAATTCCAGGTTCCCCCCATGACGCACTGGGTTGGAGTTAGTTTGAGCTGAGACCAGCCGTCCCCATCTTGCATCCCAGACCCCTTCCTGGCTCAGGACTTAGGTTTATGTTCATCAGAAGGCAAGATGGTGAGCTTGGCTTTGCCTTGGCACCTTGGACCAGGAGAGAGCAATAGTTTGAGGGCTGAACCCTCCTCTTCACCTACTAAATCTCTTCTCTGTCACCCCTGGGGAGTGAGGAGTTCAACTCTTCTCTGGACAAGAGCCAGTTGGGTCTGGCCTCAAGGTTTGGAGGCTCCACAGCTGGGAAGTTTTCCATGGCTGGGAAAGGTGAGGGGGGTGGGTAGAAGTCTCCTGCCACTGGGGAAGTAGGAGGGCACCAGCTCCATGAAGGCTTTGTCCCAGGCTGGGCCTCCGCGATCCCAGGAAGGCTGGACAAGGAGGCTTCAGATTTTACTGCTGACCCGCAGGAGAGGTCAGGCAGAGAAGGGATTAGGTGGTGATTAAACTGGAGACCAGGGGCTGGTTAGGGTCCTTGGAGAGGGGTAGCTTCAAGCCTGCAGTTTGGAGGAGCAGTTTCCCTGGAGCACTGGGAGCTGCTCTGGGGGGTGGGATGGTCTGAGTCCCTGGCAGACCTAGGCAAGGGCAGAGGTGGCCAGTCCTCATTGGTCTCCTCTGGGACTGCCCTGTAGGTCAGTGGCCAGGGAAGTGTGAGTGGCTGGGAGCGGGAGGCTCAGGGAGGGCATATGGGGGCCTGCTCACCTACCAGGGAGTGAGAAGTTGGAAATGGATGTGGCTGTCCCTTGAGGTCACTGTCCACCTCTTTTGTTTGACACTACCTGCACTTTCCTGATTCCTCCCACTAGAACCGTTCTCTCCACCTGTGTTGCCTTCCTTCCTTCCGCTACCCTTGAAGTCCTTCAAGGCCAGCACTAATGCCATGCTTTATAGGAAGTGCATGAGACCACCTTTTTCTTCCCTCTGCTCCCCAGTAAACTCCTCACCATTCCACCGGGCAGAGAACCATGGTGGAAAGAGTGTGTGCTCCGGATTCAGACAGACCCCACTTTGCATCCCAGCTCTGCTAATGACTAGCTGTTTGACTTTGGACATGCTACTTAGCCTCTCTGAGCTTTAATTCCTTCATCTGTAGAATGGGGACAATAATACTTCTAGGGGTTATGAGGAGTAAATAAGCTGTGGTGCCAAGATCAGCGCTGGGTGACAGGGAATGCTTTGTAAACTGACAGCTTTTACTGTGGTAAAAGTAATGCCAGAGTGCCTACTATCACGATGAGCTGGGGACACATCTGTCTGACCCAGACTGGCATGTGGAAACCTTTGTTGCGGGGCAGGGGCAGAGTCTCACTCCCTTCCCATTTCCTGCCCTGTTACCTGGCACCCCCTAGCAAAAGAGTGCTCCAGGTAGTGTCTGCAGAGTTCAGCCATGTTCAAGAGAGATCCAGCAAAGGCCCCAGTGGAGGGTCCTGGGCAGAGGGCAGTCAGGGTAGGCCCTACCACTCACCTGGATGCCTCTCCCTACAGTTTCGGGAGAATGTCCAGGACGTCCTGCCAGCCTTGCCGAATCCAGATGACTATTTTCTCCTGCGTTGGCTCCGAGGTGAGGGAAGAGGGGCTACGGGAGGCTGGGGCAGGGGCTTGTTCTGAGTAACAGAATGGCACCCTCTGAAAACCCTGCCCCTGGCAATCAGGGCATCTGGAATGTTCAATCTTTAATGTCAAAGGGTCCTTGGCAATGACATAAGCTCAACCCTCCTAGTGGATAAAGACACTGAGGCTCAGAGAGATGAAGTGACTTGCTCCAAGCCACACAGTGAGTGAGCTGCAGCAGAGAAAAGGGGAGATTCCAGGTCGGCTGACCCTTGGCCCACAGCCTTTTCCATCCACCCAAGAAATCTGCTCTGCTGATGGAGTTGGGGAAATGGGCTGAGGAAAAACAAAGCGAGAAAGGCCACAGCCATGTGGGTGGTCGGAGGCAGGGCGAAGTGCAGAACCAGCCCCTGATATGCTCTGTTAGGAGGGCAGGTCCCCGCTGACCGCAGTTTAGGCAACCTGAAGGCCTCAGCCTGACCTAGGGTGACAAGAGTCTCCTCAAACCACCACCAGGCTCTAGAGCCCAGGTCCTGGTTCTAGCTCTGCCCTGGCCTGGCTGTGGAGCCTGGTTCAGGGCAAACACTTCCCTAGGATCCTCCTCTGGAAGGGCAGGAAAAGACCTGTCTGCTCTAAGACATGACATAACAGAGCTCTGTGTGTGGCACTGAAATGTACACATTTCTGCTGGCATCAGGGTCAAGTTCAGCCCCATTCCCCAATCCCTGAGATGTTTCCATTCTTTCCCCTCTTCTCTTCTCCTGTGATTCAGGTCATGTGCCACCCTCCCTGGTTCTTCTGACACCTTTTCCCCCTCTATATAGAAACTTTAATTACAGACATAGGAATAATAAAGAAAATTCCACTATGGCCAGGAACGGTGGCTCACACCTGTAATCCCAGCACTTTGGGAGGCTGAGGCAGGTGGATCACTTGAAGCCAGGACTTCAAGATCAGCCTGGGCAACATGGTGAAACTCCATGTATACTAAAAAATACAAAAATTAGCTGGGCGTGGTGGCGGGTGCCTGTAATCCCAGCTACTCAGGAAGCTGAGGTAGGAGTATCACTTGAACCCGGGAGGTGGAGGTTGCAGTGAGTTGAGATTGTGAGACTGCACACCAGCCTGGGTGACAGAGTAAGACTCCATCTCAAAATGAAACAACAAAAAAGTAACTTTATTTATTTATTTTTTTAGAGACCAGGGTTTCACCATGTTGGCCAGGCTGGTCTCAAACTCCTGACCTCAAGTGATCTGCCTACCTCAGCCTCCCAAAGTGCTTGAATTATAGGTGTGAGCCACTACACCTGGTCAGAATATTCCATTATGTTCTAGCAAAGCTTAAGTTGTGGTGTAGAATCATATCCTAAAATATGAAAGTACAAATTATGCCCTATTATTTTAATTTTCATTATTATTATTTTTTTGAGACACGGTCTGACTCTGCTTCCCAGGCAGTGGGCATGATCGTGCTCACTGCTGCTTTGAACTTCTGGTCTCAAGTGATATTTTTATTTATTTATTTTGAAATGCAGTCTCACGCCGTTGCCCAGGCTGGAGTGCAATGGCGCGATCTCAGCTCACTGCAACCTCTGCCTCCCAGGTTCAAGCGATTCTTCTGCCTCACCCTCCCGAGTAGCTGGGATTACAGGCTCCTGCACCATGCTCTGCTAAGTTTTGTATTTTGAGTAGAGATGGGGTTTCACCACGTTGGCCAGGCTGGCCTTGAATTCCTGACCTCAGGTGATCCACCCACCTCGGCCTCCCAAAGTGCTGGGATTACACGCATGAGCCACCGTGCTCGGCAATAAATGTTACTAAAATTTATTTTTGAAATAGGGTCTTGCTGGCCTCAAACTCCTGGGCTCAAGTGATCCTTTCACCTCAGGCTCCCGAATAGCTTGGACTACAGGTACACACCATTGTGACTGGTCCTGTTATTTCTTTATGGACACATACACACACGTGCATGCCCTAGGAGTCTTGGAGCAGGTGAAGAGATGTATATTCCTTTTCTTTCCAGAAATTTCATAGAGCTGACACACATGCTCCTGAGAGGCGGCTTGTAAACACCTGAGGGCAGATGCATCCAGGAGCCTCTGGAAGTGTCACTTGCCCCTTTCCCCAAAATACCTCCATCCCATTCCCCTATCCCAGCCCACCGCCCAGAGAGGGTAGAAGGGCAGCATGGGGGCGGCAGTGGAATCAGTTCAGGCTGGAGGAAATTTTGGCCCAGCATTTGCTGAAGGACTGCAGCTAGAAGCAGGTGGGTGGAGAGAGTGGGAAGACAGTAGCCTTCTTAAAGGGCCAGCTGCAAAATGATCCAGACGACTAGGGAGCTGCTGTTCCGCAGAGAAGCATGGTTTCTGAGAGCCATTAACAGCAATGCAGTTCTCTCTTACTGAAGCAGGGGCCAGCCAGGGGTCCTGGCAGCTGATCTCCCAATTCCTGGGGAGCCTCATACTCAGGGGTCATTCAAAGAGTGTGGTCATTCTCATTTGCCAGATGAGAAAACAGGCTCAAAGAGGGGAGTTGGGAAGGGGACTTACCTGAAGTCACACAGTTAATGTGTAGCAGAATCAGGGCAGAAACCTAGGGCTCCAGACTCCAGGCCAGCATCATTTCCAGTAAGCCACCCCTGCTCCTTAAAGCCAGGCTCAGCCTCTTACAACAGAGGAAGTGTCTCCTCTGCATTTCACTTGTGCCTCACATTTCCTGGGCAGGAGCTCAGGCCTGGTCAGAGCCTAACATGAATTACAATTAGTTTTTCTTTTCCCCTTAAAAAAAAAAACCAAACCCAAACAACAAAACCCAAGGCCTGGCATGGTGGCTCATGCCTGTAATCTGAGCACTTTGAGAGGCCAAGTGGATCACCTGAGCTCAGGAGTTCAATACCAGCCTTGGCAATATAGCAAGACTCTGCCTCTACTTAAAAAAAAAAAATAGCCGGGTGTGGAGGCACGCACCTGTAGTCCTAGCTATTCGGGAGCCAGAGGTGGGAGGTTGCTTAAGCCAGTAGTTTGAGACCATAGTGAGCTATAATCTTGCCACCGCATTCCAACCTGGGTGACAGAGCAAGATTCTGTCTCAAACAAAACCAACCAACCAACCAACCAGCCTTTTAGCATTCTCTCCTTGAATCTGACGGAGACATTTGCAAGCCACATACCAGCAGAATGTCTGTCCGTATCCTAGGGGTGGGCTTGGGGTTTCTCTCCCTCCCTCTTTCCCCACAGAGGAGTTCAGTTTTCTGCGGGCTTCCAGGCACAGAGAGCAGGTCCCCAAGTCTCATCTGCCTCCCCCTGACTGGGGCTGAGCTCTGGGCATCCCAGCAAGGAGGATCGGAGAGCAGGATAAAAGAAGGAAGTGGTGTAAGCCTTGGGAGGGAGGCAGAGCAGGTCTGAGTCTCTGCATTTTACAAGTCTAGGGAATGAATGGACAATCACCACCCAGGCGGCTGCCCCTGAGCTGAGTTCTTGCAGTGCCACAAGCCATGCTTCGAGTGGCCCCTGACCAGGGCAGCAGGAGCCTGGAGAGGCCTCAAACAGGTATGGGAGGCCCCAGGTGTGGTACTGCCAGGAGCAAGTGGCAACTCTGGGAGAGCCCACATAGAAGACGCTGGATGTTGGGCCTTGGCAGATAAGGGTTAACTGGAGAGCCTCCCCAAGATAAGAGGCTCACAGTTCACCACCACTCCTAGGAAGTTAAGGACTCTTCTCATAGTAATGATGTCCTTCCTATGGAAGATTCTCATCATGGTCCCACGAACTCCCCCAACATGAGGATGGTGCCTCGCATCTTCCAAGTGTTTCTAGCTTATCAGACAATTTGGTCAGAGATGTGCATTATCTTGTCTAAGGTCAAACAGAGAAGTGGAAGAGCTGGGATGCAAATGCAGATGATATTCCTCTAAAAGCTGTCTCATGCTGCTGTGGCAACACATGAAGAAGGGTGGGATTCAGTTCTGCTAGGATGCGTCCAGCACTTGTGATGGGTGTGGCACTGGTCAAATCTGTTGAGGCAGCCTATAAGCCTGGGAGAAGGGACTGATTTTCATAACAGCAGAGTCAGGGAATGTGCTCGGCACTCCCAGAGAACGATGGTTAAGGGACCAGGGACGGTCCAGAGGGCAGCCTGTCTGGCCCAGGTTCCAGGGCTGTCAGCAGATCTAGATGCCAAATCTACAGAGGACATACAACTGGGAGGGACAGTTCATAGGTCAGATGGCAAAATCGATCAGAATCCGGATCTCAAAAAGTTAAAGGATGGATTGTGGAAATTTGACAGGGAAGGATCTAAGGTCTCACCTCTCCATGTATGCAATGGAGGCAGTGGCACAGGTGAAAAGGATTTGGGGGTTTCAGTGTCTATAAGCTCCACCTGAGTTAGGAGTATGCCTGTTGCTAAGAAGGTTTTTGGGCTGAGCACAGTGGCTCATGTCTGTAATCCCAGCACTTTGGGAGGCCAAGGTAGGTGGATTACCTGAGGTCAGGAGTTTGAGACCAGCCTGGCCAATGTGGTGAAACCTCGTCTCTACTAATTAGCCGGGTATGGTGGTGTGTGCCTGTAATCCCAGCTACTCAGGAGGCTGAGGCAGGAGAATTGCTTGAACCCGGGAGGTGGAGGCTGCAGTGAGTCGAGATTGTGCCATTGCACTCCAGGCTGGGTGACAGAAGTGAAACTATGAGTCAAAAAATAAATAAATAAATAAAAAGAGAGAGAGAGAGTTCTTAGACAGCACCTGGGGCTATATTCGTGGCTCTTAGAGCACACTCTGAGGGAACCCTGGAAAACATTCACAGGGAAGTTATTTGCATGGACTTGAAACCAAGTTGTGGTGCTTGGTATAGGATCCAAGGATGGGCAGCATGCTGGTCAGGGAAATGCAGGGTGACAGCTCAGAATTTTCCTGTCTTGGAAGTGTTGTCATGTGGCTAAAAAGACAATCCTATTCTCTGAGTGCCTCTGAAATGAATATCAGTTCAGTACCATGACAGCTGAGTGCAAATTGCAGCTATGATTACCTGGGAGCAAGTGGCCTTGGGGGTCAGTGAGTTATTTGTGTTCAAGCCTGAACAGGATACTTTTTGGGGTGTCATGCATAAAGAGTTGACCCAGGTGAAATTGAATTCTGAAACTTGTCAGGAGCCCTGGGAGGGGATGTGTGAGCCCTTTGAGGACATGACAAGGTTGGGTGGAGGCTCATCAACCCCTCTATCCGACTGGTATATTCTGCCAGCTCTGCCACAGATTGCAGGGGCAGCTATATTCATCCTTGTTTTTTGTTTTTCTTGAGACGGGGTCTTGCTCTGTCACCCAGGCTGGAGTACAGTGGTGTGATCTCAGCTCACTGCAACCTCTGCCTCCCAGGCTCAAGCAATCCTCCCACCACTTCAGCCTCCCAAGTAGCTGGGACTACAGGTGCATGCCACCATCTGTGGCTTTTTCTTTTTTTTTTTTTAGAGACGAGGTCTCACTGTATTGCCCAGGCTGGTATGTTCATCTTTGAACTGTGGTATCAAGGTCTCAGGACTGCATGTGAGAATGTGGAGGAGATAAACTTTGTCTGTGTAAGGGGGAAGGCCAAATGATAAGAGGGTTCAGGGTTCATTTTCGCTGAAAGGAGGTGAGACCTTTAACTTGATTATAACCACTGGGGTAAAGCTCTTTTGACCCTGGTGTTATAATGGCTGCCCCAACTGCCCTGAACCTTGACCTGCTCTCCACACAAACCTGGGGTCTGTGGTGCCCCAGTTCTCAGTAAAGGCTCTCCTGTTAGCTTCTGCTTGTGGGAAGGTCTGAGGGTTAGCTGGAGAGATGACTGAGAGGAACTGGCCCTATCATGGGAATATGGGAATCTCTCCATCCTTGGACCCCCAGTCCTGTTAACTTAATCCTGACCACGTTTCCTTGTTACAGCGAGAAGCTTCGACCTGCAGAAGGCAGAGGCTATGCTCCGGAAGGTGAGATACATTTGGCTCCGAATCCCACTGTTGCCTCAGTTCCTCCCCTTCAGAATCGCACCTTGCGTTGACATCTTTTGCCACACCTCCCACCCCGATCACAGCTTTTAGCTTTGAGTATTAGCCGACCACTGTTGCCTTATCCCTCTGGGACAAACTGCATTCCCTTCCCTGGCAACATAGGCTTTCATAGTTCCGGGCCAGCCAAGAATGATAATCTCTTCTGCTAAGACCTCTAACACAGGCAGGGCCTTCTTTTCCATTCCTGCCCAATGCCTTCTGGTGACTGCCTATGATCTGGTGGTCCATTCACGCTGTTGCTTATTGCTACATGCCTATTAAACTTCCCTCACACCATCCCTGTTTTTTTTTGTTTTTGTTTTTTGAGACAGAGTCTCCCTTTGTCACCCAGGCTGGACTGCAGCGGTGGCGCGGTATCAACTCACTGCAACCTCCACCTTCCGTGTTCAAGTGAGCTCATGCCTCAGCCATGGAGTAGCTGGTATTACAGGCATGTGCCACCATGGCCAGCTAATTTTCATATTTTAGTAGAGACAGGGTATTGCCATGTTGGCCAGACTGGTCTTGAACTCCCAGCCTCAAGTGATCCACCTGCCTTGGCCTCTCAAAGTGCTGGGATTACAGGTATGAACCACCATGCCCAGCTGTCCATCCCTCCTTTAAAATCTTCCCCATTGTGTCTTTGTAGCATGTGGAGTTCCGAAAGCAAAAGGACATTGACAACATCATTAGCTGGCAGCCTCCAGAGGTGAGCACAAATTATCCTACCTCATCCCTATGCTAGGTCTTTCAGACCCACAGCCTGGCTCCTGGGATCTGGGTCCACTGAGTTTGGATCCTCAGAGGAAAGGTCTGACAATGCCCACTGAGCCCTGGTGGTCTCCAGAATGGGCATCTGTTGGTACCCAGGGGAGGATGTAGAGAAAGATACTGATGAACCTGGAGTAAGGCCCTGTGCTCCAGGCAGGGTATGGATGCCTTCTGACCAGGCCGCTCCTCTGTGTCTTTGACCAGGTGATCCAACAGTATTTGTCAGGGGGCATGTGTGGCTATGACCTGGATGGCTGCCCAGTCTGGTATGACATAATTGGACCTCTGGATGCCAAGGGTCTGCTGTTCTCAGCCTCCAAACAGGATCTGCTCAGGACCAAGATGCGGGACTGTGAGCTGCTTTTGCAGGAGTGTGCCCACCAGACTACGAAGGTGAGTGGACCACTGTGGCTAAAAATGAACTGACCACAACAGAGGCATTCCAGCAGAAGGAGGCACGTCATGCAGGAATATAAGTGCAGCTTCAGGGCCAAGACCTAGACTTTAAAAACTTAAAAAAATTTTTTTAGTAGAGATGGGGTTTCACCATGTTGGCCAGGCTGGTCTTGAACTCCTGACCTCAAGTGATCCGCCCACCTCGGCCTCCCAAAGTGCTAGGATTACAGGCATGAGCCACAGGACCCAGCTGAGGCCCAGACTTTGGGATTTCCTAGACCAATGACACTTCCAAATTTTAGAATATTGCCAAATGTCTATTTTGCCACGTAAGACCTTTAAAACAATGATCATCTATTATTGCCATCATTAACACCCAAAACTATAAGAATGGCAATAATCTCAGATTAAAAAGCAGTCCTTAGGAGGTTGCAGTGAGCTGAGATCATGCTACTGCACTCTGGCCTCAGTGACAGAGTGAGACTCCATCATCTTAAAAAATAAAAATAAAAAAAGCAGACCTTTAAAAAACTCACATTATTGTTATATTTCTCTTTTATCTGGGGACCCAGTGAAATGTTATTGTGGACCAACCCATCCTTGAGCAAGTGTCTGGGTATCACCGGTGAAGATGATCTCAGAATCTGAGCTTCTCTAATTCTGTATCCAAAAAAAGATAAGGATGGCTGGGTATGGCAGCTCACCTGTAATCCCAGCACTTTGGGAGGCTGAGTGGGCAGACTGAGCCCAGGAGTTTAAGACCAGCCTGGCCAAAATGGCAAGAGGCTGTCTCTAGAAAAAAATAAAAATAAAAAATTAGCTGTGTATAGTGGCGCATACCAGCTACTAGGGAGGCTGAGGTGGGGGATCACTTGCACTTGGGAGGTAGAGGTTGCAGTGAGCCATGATCACACCACTGCACTTCAGCCTGGGCAACAGGGCTAGACCCTGTGTCAAAAAAGATGAGGGTAGCTGATTCCCTTACTGAGAAAAACACTGAAGAACAAGCAGAAGCTGCCACCACGGTTTTCCCTCCTGCCCTCCTCTCAGCAGTTGTAAAGATCCAGTAAAATGATGTGATAAAGTCTGGGAACATCCCAACACTCATCTGCAAACATTCAGAGAGCCTACTGTGCGCAGAGACCCTGGGGAGCTGGGGATGCAGGAGGCATTAGATGTGGATGCACCCCTGAGGGCTGAGGCTGCACAGAACATCTGTGCCTGTGTGTGAGTGGCTCTACAGGTACCACGCACAGAGCACACAGTGACTCAGGAAGCAGGAGGCCATCAGGCCAAACTGCAGAACAAAAGCCATCTCAGTTGTCATCTAGATCCACCCAGTCATGTACTGGAAAAGAACATGGAGACCTAGGCAGGAAGAGTGACTTGCCTAGGCCACAAATCTGGCTTGGGGTGATTATCTCAATTTGGAAAACCCTAGATCCAGCCCTAACCAGCTCTGGTTGCTCTATTGGAGCACAGTGCAGTCATTTGCCCCGGACCGGGTGGGGTTCTGCAGTAGGACAGCCTGACAAGACTTTTTGCTCTCTGTTCCCTGCAGTTGGGGAAGAAGGTGGAGACCATCACCATGATTTATGACTGCGAGGGGCTTGGCCTCAAGCACCTCTGGAAGCCTGCTGTGGAGGCCTATGGAGAGGTGAGAGGCAGAGTGGGGAGGAGGGGGTCAGAGGGAAGGGAAGGAGGAGTGGGCCCCTCTGCTAGGCTGTCCTGCGGGATGAGTGAGGCCTTGGGGGCAGACTCTAGTCTACAGGAAGCAGGACCTCTGTCCCTGGGACAGAGGTTTGAGCCTGCTGGAATCAAGAGTGATTTTGTTTCCACAGTTTCTCTGCATGTTTGAGGAAAATTATCCCGAAACACTGAGGCGTCTTTTTATTGTTAAAGGTAAGCTGGGAATTTCTTGTGATAAAGCCAGATGGAAAAGAGGGGTAAAAAATATGACTGGGGCAGATGGAGGGTCAAACAGTGAGCCAAAAGAAGGGTCTACGGACATGTTCAGAAAATTGCTGCCCCGGCTAGTGTGCTGGCTCATGCCTGTAACCCTAGCACTTTGGGAGGCCGAGGTGGGCGGATGACCTGAAGTCGGGCGTTTGAGACCAGCCTGACCAACACGGTGAAACCCCCATCTCTACTAAAAATACAAAACTAGCTGGGTGTGGTGGCACATGCCTGTAATCCCAGCTACTTGGGAGGCTGAAGCAGGAGAACTGCTTGAACCCAAGAGGAGGAGTTTGCAGTAAGCCAGGATTGTGCCATTGCACTCCAGCCTGGGCAACAAGAGCAAAACTCCATCTCAAAAAAGAAAAAAAAGTTGAGGAAATGAGCTGGGTGTGGTGGTGCATGCCTGTAGTTCCAGTTTCTCAAGAGGCTGAGGCAAGAGCATTGCTTGAACCCAGGAGTTCAAGGCTGCAGTGAGCTATGATTGTGCCACACTGCACTCCAGCCTGGGTGACAGAGCAAGTCTCCATCTCAAAAAAGTAAAAATAAAATAAAAACAAAAATAGGGCTGCGCATAGTGGCTCACTCCTGTAATCCCAGCACTTTGGGAGGCCGAGATGGGCAGACCACTTGAGGCCAGGAGTTCAAGACCAGCCTGGCTAACAAAGCAAAACTCCTTCTCTACTAAAAATATGAAAATTAGCTGGGCGTGGTGGTGCACACCAGTAGTCCCAGCTACTCAGGTGGCTGAGCCACAAGAATTGCTTCAATGTGGGGGGTGGAGGATGCAGTAAGCCGAGAGCTCACTGAGGCTGCGGCAAGAGCATTTCTTGAGCCCCGGAGTTCAAGTCTGTGGTGAGCTTAGATTGTGCCACTGCACTGCAGCCTGGGTGACAGAGCAAGACTCTGTCTCAATAAAATAAAAAGAAGACTATCCTTCACATATGCAGACTACTTTACAACTCACAGAACTTTCAGTATGACTTCGTTTGAGCCACCCAGCCTGATGAGATAGGAAGAGATCATTTGACTATATCCACTGTACAAATGGGATGGCAGGAGCTCAAAGATGCCCATGCTGAGCTGCACACCCTGGCCTGCTTATGTGGGCTCCACAGCCCTAGGGAACATATGGCCCAGCATGGGCTGGTGGGAGGGTAGGAGGTGCTACAGAGGACGCTGTTAGGGACAGACTGGGCACTGCTCCCAGCCTCACATTATCTGGTCTTTGTCCCAGCCCCCAAACTGTTTCCTGTGGCCTATAACCTCATCAAACCCTTCCTGAGTGAGGACACCCGTAAGAAGATCATGGTCCTGGGAGGTAAGTGGTCCAGGCTTTTCTCAACTCCAAAGGATGGTCTGTAGCCCAAATTGGGTCCAGCTTTAGAAGTATGGCCATAGCCATCAGGGTGAAAGCTCCCTCTGCTAGTTTGGGAGTAGTGGGACTTAGGAGCAAGCTGGGGCAGAGCTAGTGCTTTCATCTGTTTTCCTAAGAACTCTTTCTCTCAGACACTCTGGAAGCAATTACTGGGTCCATTATTATAGATTCAAAGATGAATGAAACTCCAGTCCTTGCCCTTAAGGAACTTACAGTATAATAGGAGACAGAAGACCTAGAAAGAGAGGCTGGGTGTGGTGGCTCGTGCCTGTAATCCCAACACTGGGAGGCTGAGGTGGGAGGATCACTTGAGGCCAGGAGTTCAAGACCAGCCTGAGCAACAAAGCAAGACCCTGTCTTTACTAAAAAATGAAAAATAGCTGGCCATAGTGGCATGCATCTGTAGTCCTAGCTATTGGAGAGGCTTAGACAGGAGGATCCCTTGAGCCCAGGAGTTCAAGGCTGTAGTGAGCTATGATCATGCCACTGCACTCTAGCCTGGGCAACAGAGCAAGACCCTGGTTTTGTTTTTGTTTTTGTTTTTTATAAAAGACCTAGAGATACAGAGAAAAAAAATTAAAAAACAAACCTAGAGAGAGAGAGCTATGACATAAACTAGAAAAGATAGAAGAATAGTCACAGGAGGGTGCCACAGAGGTCGCAGGAGCAAAGTTGCTTTTAGTTGGGGAAAACTAGGAGCAGCTTCGTTTGACAAGCACCTAGTATGTGCCAGACCCAGGCTAGTGCTAAGACTATAAAGATGAATAAGACAGAATCCTGGCTGGGTGCTGTGACTCACATCTGTAATCCTAGCACTCTGGGAGGCAGAGGTGGGCAGACTGCTTGAGCTTAGGAGCTCAAGACCAGCCTGGCCAGCATGGTGAAACCCCGTCTCTACTAAAAATACAAAAATTAGCTGGGCGTGGTAGCGCACACCTGTAATCCCAGCTACTCAGGAGGCTGAGGCAGGAGAATTGCCTGAATCTGGGAGGCGGAGGTTGCAGTGAGTCAAGATCATGCAACTGGCACTCCTGCCTGGGTGACAGAATGAGGCTACCTCTCAAAAAAAAAAAAAAAAAAAAAAAAGGAAAAAGAAAAAAAGACAGAGTCCTTTGAAGATCTCTTGGCCTCTCTATCAGCATGCTATGGTACATGTATGGAAGGGGAAACCACAAAGTGCATGGGAGCACTCAGTGGGAGCACTCACTCCACCTGAGCTAGGCAGGGGGTGATGCCTACCTAAGCTGTGTGCTATGGAATGACTAAGAGTCTGCCAGATGGAGCAAGGCAGGAAGCTGCTTGGCAGAAAGAAGGGCATTGAACAAAGACCTTACACAGCATGGCAGAGGCAGCTGTTACAGAATTGGAGGTAGGGTGTGGCAAGAGATGAGACTGGAGAGGGAGGCAGGTCGCAGGAATCAGGTCCTAGAGAATCCAGGGCAGTTTTAGAAGCTGGGACATGACTCTACAGGCCACTGGGAATCAGAGGAGTTTTCAGCATGGGAGTACCACAACCAGATTTTAAACTGGTTGTATTAGCAAGATTGCGAAGGATACCAGTTTGTATACTTGCCACAATCCATGCAAGAGGTGTTGCAAGCCTGAATTGGGGCAGTGGCAATAGGTACAGAGGACAGGATGGATGAAAACTTATTTAGGGCCAGGTGCAGTGGCTCACACCCATAATCCCAAATACTTTGTGTTTGGGAGGCCCAGGTGGGTGGATCGCTTAAGTCCAGGAATTCTAGATCAGCCTGGGAAACATTTGTAGAGATGGTGAAACTCCATCTCTATAGAAAATAAATTAGCTAGATGTGGTGGCGTGTGCCTGTAGTCCCAGCTAGTTGGGAGGGTGATTGGTGCCACTGCACTCCAGCCTGGGCAACAGAGCAAAAACCTATCTAAAAAAAAAAAAAAAAAAGACTTATTTAGGAAGTAAAGCAGCAGAACTCAATTGACTAGATGTAGGAAGTAAGAGAGAAAGAAATCTAGAATGAGCTCCTGGTGTCTGGCAGAGGTGACTGAGAGATGGTGATGCATTTGTTCAACTGGGGAAAACTAAAAGAATAAGCTCAAAAAAGCTTGAAGTTGAGCTTGAGGAGTCTGTGAGATATAAAAATGTTGGGAATACCTGAGTTTGAAGCTTAGGAGAAAACTCTGCTCTGGAGATTTGGAAGTTATCAAATAGCAGCAGCTAAAACCTTGTCAGTACGTAAGATTGCCTATGGAGGAACAGAGGTGGAACCCTGAGGGTCATCCGAGCTCAAGAGCAGGCAGAGAAGGAGGAATCCACCAGGGAGACTGAGAAGTGACTAATGAGGTAGGTAGAGAAGCAAGTCAACAGGGAATGACTATGCAGGGGCAACATCAGGGCACAAGGGAAAGTGTGACCCAAAACCCAGCAAAGAAGACACACAGGCAAGCCAGCTAGGGACAGGCAGTTCAGTTTTGCTGAAGTGGAGGGAGAAAAGGCTAGAAAGGTAGACTGGGCAGCCAGGTGTAGTGGTTCACACCCATAATCCCAGCTACTCAGGAGGCTGAGGCAGGAGGACCACCTGAGCACAAGAGTTTGAGACCAGCCTGGGAGACATAGTGAGACTCTGTTTCAAAAACAAAACAAAAACGTATATTGGGACAGGCTCGCGAAAGGGAGGATGCCGCCTACAGCATTGAACTTGGGGGTGGGGTAGGAAAGAGGGATTCTGAAGGCTTCTCAATGTTCACCTTTTGGTGACACATTAAAAGTGGAGATTTTCCAAATGTGTGCTGGTGAGACCTGGGGAGTGAAGTCATCAGGGAAGTGTGGGACCTCTGGGTTCCAGTCATAGCTCTGGCCAGCAACAAGCTCAAGTTCTGCTTTTTTTTTTTTTTTT